CAATGTGTCTTTTAGAGTAATAATTTTTTTAATTCAAGGTACATTTTGATCACCCCTTATATATTTGGAGAATAGGGTAGTCAAAAGTGGTTCGCGAGCTTCATGTCTAGTTATAACACTTTTCTGGCTATAAGGTTTAGATTCCTTAGTCCTGGACCCTGGTGAGCCCTTCCTGTTGATGAACAGCTAAGACTGTTGCTATAAAATAGTACAAACCAACTGGCTTAAACAACAGACATTTTTTGTTACATAGTTCTGCAGGCCGGAAGTCTGAAATCAAGATGACAGCAGGGTTCCGAGGGAGACTTTACTCCAGGCTTGCTTCTCGGCTTGTGGGGGTGTGATGGTGACCTTTGGCGCTTTGGGCTTGAAGAATAACCCCAATCTCTGCCTTTGTCTTCATGTAGCGTCCTTGTATATGTCTGCATCCAAAATTCTCCTTTGTTTAAGGACTCCAAATATATTGAGCGAGAAGCCTCTCTAATGACTTCATTTTGACTTTATTACCTCAGTAATGATCCTATTTCCAAATAAGGTCACATTCTGAGGCTCTGGGGGTTAGAATGTCAATATTGTTGGTTCTGGGATGGGGCACAATTCAACTTATAGCAAGGAGGACACTGTTGGTCTGGCCATAAGCTCCTGAGCAGCAGCTTCAGCTGGCATAGCTCCCACACCCATTTGCTGGCCAGTAACATTCTGCTGTGGCTAAAAATCTAGCTCTGATCCTGTCTAGTCAGTGATTTGGGGGCTGGGAGTCATGGGGCAGGCAGTTCATCAACTAAGAAGTAACGAAGCTTGGCCCCTGTTCTTACCCAAAGACAGGGAATGGGTGACTAGCTGTATAGTGAATTACAGTGGAATAGAGAATCCTGTTTCACCACCATCTGCCACTGTGAGGCTTCTCAGGACAATTGCTCATTCTTTCCGGTAACAGGTGAGTAATCAGGCACCACGGTCAGTGCACCAGGGTAGCAAAGGGACATCTTGGACAGGGGAGTGGGAGACCTATATTTAAACACATACTTCCTTTTTGAACTGAGAGGGTTGGGCTGGTGAATTTCAGAGTTCTAGTCTACTGTGACCCACTGTTAGACAGCATTAAAAGAGGTAAAGTTTCCTTGATTGAAGTACTTGTTACTGGAAGGGTCTGGGTGGCTTTCTGGCCCCGTCACAGTCTCTTTCCCCATTGCTGAAACACGATACTTGACACTCATAATTTATTATTTATTTATTTATTTATTTAGGTACCGGGAATCGAACTCGGGACCTTGAGCTTGCCAGGCAGGCACTTGTGCCACTGAGCTATATCCCTGGCCGAGACTCATAATTTAAAGGAAGAGAGATTGACTTTGGCTCACAGTTTTAGAAATTTCAGTCCGTGGTCAGCAGGCTCCAAGGCAAAAAGAAACAGGGTAGTGGAAAGCTGCTGATGTCATGGCAGCCAAGAAGCAGTGAATGTGGAAAGACTCCAGGAGGGAGCGATGCCCTTCCAGGTCACACCAGGAAGAGACCCGCCTCTTCTGTCAAAGCCCCACTTACCAACATCACATTCGACCACATTCCTAATAGTGCCCCCATGATCCAACCAGACCCTAAAAGCCCTGTCTCTGAGCACATGAGAGTTTTGCGGAATATTTCAGACCCAAAGTACCACAGTACCCCTAACCTCTTACCTGGCATGACTTTGGTGCAGGGAAAACAGGTCCACAGTTGTGGCTTATAAATTGAGGGTCTCATCTTGCAGATATGCTTAAATTCCACCTCTATATTTCTACTGCATTACCATCTCCACCTTCAACTCTATTTCTCTATATCTATGTATCTCCCTATGCATCTCCCTATGCATCTATCTATCATCTATCTATCTATCTATCTATCTATCTATCTATCTATCTATCTTCTATCAGCTCTCTCTCTTTCTCATACACAAACATATATGCCCACAGATTTGCTTTGCTTTTGCATGGAGGAGAAAGATGTTTTTAATAGCTGCTTTTCTCCCCTCTCTTTTTTTTTTTTCCTGGAAAATGATGAAATCATCCATTTATTCTGTACCAATTATAAGCACTAGAAAGCACAGGAGGAGCAGAAAGCTTGATCACAAATAAATATACACCAGGGGAGAAGGAGAAGGAGGAAACTGTTATTGATTGGCCTTGTAAAATCTGCTGCAGAATCAATAGCAATTTCTGGAAATGCCAGACATTTATTTTGTGTGGCTTGAACAGCAGAGATAATAATAAACGTACTTATGAAGTGGGTCTCCTGACACTATTTCCTTGAGTCTCTTATAATAACACAGACACACACACACACACACACACAATGGATGTGGTGGCAGTACAAGCCATAGTGAATATGTATCAAATTTCGGTTGAATTTGACCGTTGCCTACCTCCCCTTCTGCTGGGTGTGTAGCATTTGAGTAAGTCTTCTCTGCTAAAGCAACACAGACAATTCTTCTGTATGAAGAGCTGGGAGACATGTTCTCAGTTGTAGAAAGACAGGCCTCAGCTTGTTCTGGTGCTCAAAGAAGAAAATCGGATGCTGAAACTGCGAGATCCTGCCTGGCCACTCTGAATTTCTGCACCTGCTCCTCACCCATGCCTCATACCCATCCGAGAGGCCCAGTCATCATTTCTTTCTAACAATGGGCAGCTCACTTTCTGTAGCTGCTCCCTCACCCCTAACATTCTCCCACAGCTGGCCCCTTCTCCTATTGGCACAATAAATTCCTTTTGTGAGCGCATGTGGCAACCTTACCAACACCAGGAGCCTAAGAAAAGATTCAGCAGTGTTTTCAGAATAGAGAAACTGCTCAGTGTGTTCATGTGTCTCCATATAGTAAAAATAGCTACCATTTATTGAACACCTATTGTGTGCTGTGCAGTTTTCTCACTACCTTGTTTATTTCTCAAATCAAGCCTGTGAGTTATGATTATGTTTAAGCCTTTTTAAAGGAAACTGAAGCTCATAAAGATTAAGCATGTTAACCAAGGTTGGGAAACTACTACGAGAGTGAACTAGAGTTGACCTCATGTCTGATTTATATTTTGTATTCTTTCCTTTTGGCTTTTGCCTACTTGGGTGTAGATTGGAGGATGGGAGGGAAAATTACAATACACAGAGATCCTCTGTTGTCTGGCAAAGGCCTCTGACATAATCTGTGTGCAATACGGCATGAGTGAAAGTTTGTCTGAAGTGTATGTGGTACAATCACAGTTATGCGCTGAGGACATCACAGATCAAGATGCATCAGCTCAAATGGTCAGGAGAAAGGAGGCTCAGATCGGGAGGGTACAATGGAATCACCAAGAGGTGGCACTTTGCTGTCGTGAGGGTAGAAAATGTTTTTCCTTCTCTCTGCTTGTTCTTATCCCTGCCTCTGCTGCTGTCCTTCACCACTCGACCTTTTCCTGTTTTGTGATCATGGGAGAGTTTCTGGGGAACAACCATCCCAGGCCAGGCTTCTCTATGGCAAGCCAACCTTAATGATATTGTTAGACACAGGTGCCTGCTGAGCTGGGGATAGATTCCGCTTCCTTAATATATCTCTACTCAGTGCGGCAGAGCTAAGGAGAATCTGAACTACTAAACTGGATGTTGGAAGAAGGTGTTATTTCTGAAAATCTGTAGGTTTCTGGTTCTTTGGCTGTGTCCCATTTCTACACAATGAACCTTTGGTTTTCTGAGACAATCTTCATGGCTTTTAAAGCCAAAGAAAGACTTTCCCTTGGGTCTAGCTTATTGCTCAGAGTAATGCTTTCCTTTTAATTACTCAAAAAAAAAAAAACCAAACCAAAAAAACCCTTTTTTTTATTTTAAAGATAAAAGGAGGGAAACATTAACAGACATACAACATTTTACAACATATCACAAGCACAATACAGACAATACAGAGTTACAAACAAAGTGGTAGGGAATTAACAATGGTGGTTGTATTACATATTGATATCTTCAAAGTGGCTTCTCATGAAAACAGATATAGACATGCAATACTGGTCAACCAAAGACTCATTGACAGTTTCTTTCAGCATAGAAATAGAAGACAGGAAAAACCCTTTCTTTAGATGCTAAGTCAATCTCTACATCCAGAGCCCATCATGGAAAATACCTCCACAAAAACCCAAAGGTGGCAAGTCAAAGAGACCTTGTGAATAGACTGCCATATGGGAACAATGGAAATTAATTCTTCAGATGTTCTTTCTGTGGATGTTTTCTGTACTGCCCTGTGTCAGGGCCCATTGATTAGGCCAGAAACAGTCAGTCAGGGCTTTGTCCCTCAAGGAGTTCACAATCTAGTAGTGGAAGTAAATTCATGCCCACAAGTACCTTCTGTATAGGCAGTAGCCAATCCACAGATGTGCCATGGGTAATACAAGTGAAGGGAATCCAAAGAGAGGTACAAAAGATAGGTTGCAGTTTTTGAGTCATCCTTGGATAGGAAGGAAAGAAACTGAAATTTTGGATTGCCTCAGGATTACAGAACGGTAAAAGAAGGATGAGGCAGCAAGAAAGAAAGCAAAGAGTTTGCAGGGAGTCCTAGAGGAAAAGGGGTCCAAGTCAGGGAGACTTCTGTGCTTGTGGAAGAGAGGAGCAGGAGAGGGAAGGGGTGGGTTAGAGTAAGATGATGAGGACTTCAAGCACTAGGTGGACATAGTTGTATATTATTCCAGAGGAAGGGAGGCTTCACCAAAGTTTTGAAAACTGAGAAGACATGGTCTGTTAGTGTCTTAAAACTGACAAAGCATTTTATCTGCAAGAACAAGGCATCTAGGATTCCGCTATTATGAATTGTGCTGCCATAAACATGGTATGCATGTATCACCGTGGTATGATGTCTTACCTCTTTGGGGAAGATACCCAGAAGGCGAATGGCTGGGTCATATGGAATTCTCTAGTTTTAGCTCTTTGAAAAGCTCTCAACTGATTTCCATAATGGCTGAGCTAGTTCACATTGCTACTAGTAATGTAGAAGTGTTCTTTTTTCACTGCAGTCACACCAGCACCATGTATACCCATCAGTAGAAGAAAGGATAAAGAAACTGTGGTACCTCTACATGCTGGAATGCTACTTGGCTACAAAGAGGGATACATCTGAGATATTTGAAGGAAAATACAACAGTAAGTGAAATAAATCAGACACGCAAACTTAAATACCACCTGTATCTCCTTTGAGTAAGCCAAAGGACAAAAGGAGCAAAATAAAGGATGGATAGAAGGAAACAAGGGGATAGATCTCTTGCAAGAGACAAGGGGTCCAGGAGACAGAAGACAAGGGGAGAAGGGGAGGGGGAGGGGAAGGGGAAGCAAGAAGAATTAAGATATGCTATGTACAGGAACCTAATAACCTCAACAAACGTAAATGTTATGTCATAAATGTGAGCTAAGAATAATAACAAGAGTGAAAATGAGGAAAGGGGATTTAGAGGTGGGGGAAGGGAGGTGCGGGGAAGAGGCAAGAGATGAAAACCAGAAACAAGATGTATTGTGTACATGTACCTGTTCCCCCAGCTGAGTGAAAAATTCACATACTGCAAACAGATACTAGAATAAAATAATAAAAATATAAGTGAAAACAATAATCTAGTTGTAGTACCATTTCAAAACCTCAGTGGAATCTTACACTTCTAGAAAAATAAGAGTGGATATGCTTTTCTTTATTCCTCTTGTACTGAGCAAGCCCTAGCTACCATACCTAAAACAAATATAAGGTATACTGACAGGTGGAGGGAAGGAAGCTAACCAGCTAGGGACCTCAAAACCCCAGGAATAACATAACTGTGAGTCCCTTGGTTTTGTTTTGCTGCTGTTGTTATTGTTCCGTGTATTCCACCTTTGGAGCTAAAGTTGCCAGCAACTGAACTATCTATAAATGCAGACAAAATAAAAACAAAAACAAGGAAAAAAACATCAAAAGCGCCCACTCTCTGTAGCAACAGAATTGGTATAGGAAAAAGGGAGTGAGTCAGGCAGAAGGTTTTTAGATGAAAACCATTCTTTCTCAGCCAAACACCACAAATATGTGACCTCTCCTCCATCCAGGCAGTCAAAAGCCAACTAGAACGCCTTCTCTGAGCCTCTCCAGGGGTGCCCTCAGGATTCTCCCCTCACTGGGTTATATCAGGGAGTAGGAGGTTGGCATTCCCATCGTTTAGGGGTGGAAATGAGATCCCCTTCTTCACCATAGTATAAATGAAGAAAATACGGATAGCTTGGACTTCCACTCCCACCTGCAGTAGTGAGAAGCTCCTACTCTTCCTCACTAGAGAGTCAGAGTGTTACCACCCAGAGCTAATAAGTTCTCATAATCTGTAGTATCAGTGAAGGACCAACAATGAGGCACCTCTCTCCAACTGTGAGTGGAGGCTAAGTGTGGAACTTGGCAGTAAGGAGGTACTATATATTTCTTTCTCTGACAGAACAGTGTTTTTAAAAGGTCCAGGTGCACACTTCACAAATTTGGTAAAAACAGGTTCACAAACTTGAGTAGACCTCAAACAGCATCAGCTTGTAGAATTCATACCAAGACACCTCAGTGTCAGATTTCTGGAAACTATAGGCCAAGAAAATCATTTGAAAAAAGCCAGAGAAACAATACTTTACCTTTACAGGAAAAGCAATGTATTTTTTGTTTTTTGTTTTTTGTTTTTTGTTTTTTGTTTTGTTTTTCTCCGGTACCGGGAACCAAACACACGACCTTGCGCTTGCCAGGCAGGTGCTTAGGAAAAGCAATGTAAATGACAGCAGATGTCTCATCAGAAACTATGTAGGCTAGAAATAAGGGCACACAGTTTCCAAGTTGTGAAAGCAAAGAACTAACTGATAATTCAGAATTCTATCTCAGGTAAAAATATCCTTCCTGCAAGAGTGAAGGGAAATCAAAACATTCTCAGATGTAGAAACATTATGAGGATCTGTCACTAGAAAATCCCCTAGAAAAATGGCCAACAGACACTTTTCAGTCAGAAAGGGACAATAAACAAAGAAACTCTGCAAACACAAGAAGAAAGAGACGCTGCAAAAATATGAACAATGCAAGTGACTTTCCTCTACTTTAAAATCTTATAAATTGTGCTTGATAGTTGGGACAAAAGATAACACTGTCTAATATGATTATAAGTGTATGCAAGAAAATATTTTAGATACTAACATGAAAATGGGAGAGGATTAAAGAAAGTAAAGATTGAAAAGTTTCTTGCCTAACAAAAACTAATAATGTGGTGATACCCATGGATTTTGACATTTATATGTAATGTAATACCTAGAAAAAGCATGTAAAAAACTTTACAAAGTAATGCATCAAAGAACACTATAGATGAATCAAAATGAAATTGTGGAAAATGCTCAAATAACATTTTGAAAGGCAAATAAAAACCAGAGTAACAAAGAACAAAAACTAAATGTCAGACAAATTATAATATATTCATAACTATATTGTGTGAATCATCTAAATACATTAATTAAAAGGTAGAGATTAATAGAACAGATTAAAAGATACAACTCTGTATCTATTGTCTATAATAAATTCACTTCTAATATAAGTTGAATATAAGAGGAGAGAAAAAGATATATTTTGTAAACACTGATCAACAGAAACTATAAGTGGCTGTATGAATATCAAGTAAATATTACTTGAAAGCAAAGAAATGACCAGAGACAGTGATAAGCCTTATATAGTAATAAAGGGGTCACTTCCTTAGACAGATATAGCAATTATTAGTGTACATCACAACATAACAATGCTAGAAAATACGTGGACTAAGAACAATACTACTGACCAAAGAAAGAGAGTAATCTATAATTGTAGTTGGAGAATTTGATAACACATTCTCAGTAACTAACAGAATAATTAGACAAAAATCATCAAGAATATAGAGGGACTCAATATCTTCTCCATTCAACAAGAATGGAGGATTTCATCCACCTTTATACCACACTGCACCTGACAACAGCTGCCTATACATCCTTTTCAAACACCATAGAATATATACCGATTGACCATACCTGAGACATAAAACAAGTTTCAAAAAGTTAAAGTAGTGAAAATCATAAATGATATGTAATCTGACTATAGTACAATCAGATTAGAAATTAATAACAGAAAGATAATAGGAAAATATTCAAACACTAGGAAATGAAACAATATAATTTAATTAATCAATGGGTCAAAGGGTAAGTCTCAAGGGAAATAAATCACTGAAGTAAATGAAAAAATGTATTATGCTAAATGAAGTTGAGTATACATTTCAAAATTGTGGAATAGGTAGATATGTGTATAGATAATGATTTACAGTGCTAAATGAGTATAACACCAAAAAGGCTCATACTGATCATGGAAGTGTCTCCCTGAAAAACTACACAAATAAAAAAGTAAGGTAAAATAAACTCAGATAAGCTGAAGGGAAGAAATAATAAAGATAACAAACCAATGACATAGAAAAGCAAAGAAAGAAAGAAAAAGTCAATGAAATTAAGAGCTACTTCTTCAAAAAAGATCCATTAAAAATGACAAATCTCTATCAAGATGAGAAGGATGGATGGGAGAAAATAACGTATTAGTATCAGAAATGACAAGGGATATCACTACAAAGCCTCTATCACCAAAAGAACAATGCAAACAACTATGAAAAACTCTATACACAAAAATTTAGCTGCTTGGAAGAAATGAACCAATTGCTCAAAAACAACTTTCCCATTATAAAACATAACTTGAAAAGCTCTATAATTATTAGGGAAAGAGAATTCATGGTTTTAAAAGCTCTCCAAAAAGAAATCTCCACTTTAGATCATTTTGTTGAAGAATTTCTCCAAACATTTAAGGAAGAGTTAAGGGCAATTCTGATTGTCTCTTAGAAAACATAAGAAAAGGGAGCAGAGGGGCTGGGGATTTAGCTCAGCGGCAAAAGCGCCTGCCTGGCAAGCGCAAGGTCGTGAGTTTGGTTCCCGGTACCGGAGAAACCACCCCCCCCAAAAAAAAGGAAAGGGAGCAGGACTCAATTCACTTTATGAAGGTGGTGTTACCCTGATTCTCAAACAATACAAAGAGAATACAAATAATATAAACTGAAGAATAGCACAATATTTTTAGATATAGAATGGAGAAGAAGAAAATATCAAATACAGTTCAGCAATTATAGCAGAAGTTTTGCACCCTGACCAAATAGAGTTTATTCTAAGGATGCAAGGCTAGTTCGATTTTAAAAAAATCAATGTGAATCCACTACAGTAACCATACAAGGAAGAAAAAAAAAATACATGATCAGATTAGTCAATGCAGATAAAGCATTTGACAAAATTCAATACATGTTCAGGATAAAAGCTTTCAGAAATCTGAAGTTGAGAAGTACTCTAAATTTGATAACAAAGTGTGCAAAACCCTACAGCTGAGATTATACTTGTGGTGAGAGTGTGGACACTTTCCTGCATGTTAACTGTCATCCAGCTTATTGACAGTGTTGGAGGTCTAGCCAGGGCAATTAGGCAAGGGAAGGGAATAAAAAATGGAAAAGGGAGAAAAAAAAAGGAAGAAAATTGCTTTGGTTTACAAGTGATAAACTCACTCTATAGAAAATTACAAGGAATCTACGAAAAGCTGAACTGAGTTCGGTAGGATTTAGGATGCAAAATAAGTGTACATAAATCAATTGAATTTCTTTATACATTCATGAACACACATAATTTGAAATGAGTAGTATCACTTACACTGATCAAAATTTAAAGACTTAGTTCTAAGTCTCATAAAACACAGGACTTTTATGTTGAAAACTTCAAAATGCTAAATAAAGAAATAAAATAATTTAATTATTGGAGAGACATACATTTCTATGCATGAATTAAAAGACTCAAAAACAGTTGTATTAGTTTGCTATTGCTTCTGTAATAAATTACTATAAATTTAATGGCTTTAAATAACACAAATGTATTTTCTATTACTCTGGATTTTTGAAGTACGGCATGGAGTTTTACAGGGCTGAAAATCAAAGGACTTGTAGGGCAACTTCTTTCTGATGGCTCTGAGGGGGAAACAAAATCTCTTATCCACAGTCGATTTTGTCATGTAAAATAATATATTCACATGTTCCAAGGGTTCAGCTAGGGAAAAAAGGTGTTTTTTAAAAAAAACGTACTAAGAATTGAATCCAGAACTTTATCACTGAGCTACATCCCGTGCCCTTTTTTACTGTTCGGGTCTCACGAATTCTCTAAAATGCCCAGGGTGGGTTGGAAATTGCAATCCTCCTTCCTCAGACTACCAGAATGGTGGGATTACAGGCATGAGCCACCACAGCCTACTTAGCATGTGGAAATCTGTGAGGGGCTATTATTATGCCTACCACAATAGTAAAGATGTCAGTTCTCCCCAGATTTATCACAGTTTCTTTCAAGAGGACAGCTATATTTTTGGTAGGTATCAGAAAGCATTCATCTAGAATTTGTATGGAAAGCCAGATGAACTTGAATAGCTGAAATGATTTTGAAAAAGCAAAGTAGGAGGAATCTGTCTACTTGATTTCAAGACTTATTACTTAACATAACAATAAAGACTATAAACTGGGCATAGTGGCACATGCCTGTAATCCCAGCACTCAAGAGGCTGAGGCAGGAGGATTATTGGGGGTTTGAGACCAGCCTGGGCTACAAAGTGAGATGAAGGCCAGCCTGAACTACATAGTGAGACCCTGTCTCAAAAAGACAAACTAATGATAATAATAGTAATAAAGACTGCAATATTTGTAGAGAGGTAGATATATTAATCAATGAAACAAGAGAATCCAGAAGCAAACACAAATATGCTAATTTATTTATTTTTTTGCATATACACATGAACATGCAAACACACATTCACAAAAGCCTCTCCCTAAATTTCACACCTTGTACAAAAATAAATTCAAAATGAATCATGGGCTTAAGTGTAAAATGTGCAATGAAGAAACCCTTCCAGAGAACATATAAGAAGAAATCTTCAGGATCTAAGGCAAATAAAGAAGTTCTTAGACTTAACACCAAAAAGCACAATCCATTAAAAAAAAGTGGTAAGTAGGGCTTCATTACAATTTAAGAATTTTAAAAATTTCTTGTGAAAGACCTGAGTAATAAGATGAAAAGATAAGCCACAGACCAGGAAGAAAACATCTGAAGATCACACATCAGACAAAAGATTAATATGTAGGATATATACATAATTTTTCAAATGTGATAGCTAAAAACAAAGCATTCTAATTTGAAATCAACAGAAGACATAAAGAGACATTCTAGCCAAGATTATGTACAGATGGCAAATAAACACATAGAAAGATATTGAACATTGTCAGTGATTGGGGAAATGCAAATTAAAAATGTGAGATGTCACATCTATGCACACTTATCAGAATGGCTAAAAAAAATAGTGGCAACACCATGTGCTGGCGAGGACGATGAGAAATTGGATCATCTTTACATTGCTGATGAAAATGTTAAACAGGACAGCCTCTCGCAACTTAGTTTGACAGTCTCTCTCAAAAAAAGGAAGGAAACACATACCCATCATATGAAAAGGAAGATTTGTGCTCATCCTATCTGTGAATGTTTATGGTAACTTTATAAAATATTAAATGTATTATGTCTACCACAACTCAGATGTCCTTCTATAGATGGATAAACTGTGTTATATTTACACATGAAATACTACTTGGCAACAAGAAGGAGCCAACTATTGACATATATCCTGGGTGAGTCTCCAGATAGAAATTATTCTAACAGGAAAGAGTCAGTTCAACCAATATTACATCTGGTATGATCTCATTTAAATGATATTTGTGAAATGATAAAATTACAGAAAGATCAGAATGGTGGTTGCTAGGGTAAAAGAGGAAGGTGGGTGCAGAAAATAAATAGAGGAGGTCATAGTGAGGCAAAAATGAAAGATCCTGTGATACATATTCTTATCTTGATTGGCTAATTTAAAATCAACATATTGACCATGATATTGTCTTATAGGGTTGCAAGATGTTAACATTGAGGAGAACTGTGTAAAGGGCACAAGGAATCTTTATATTATTTCTCACAACTACACATAAATCTACAATTTCTTCCAAATAAAATATATAATTTAAATAAAAGTTTAGAGGAGACTCAAATGAGGAGTGGTTATGGCAGGAGGGTTGGGGATCCAGAGGCAGCAGTGATGGAGAATAGAATGAACGACAGAAGAAGTGGAAGTGCTACTGTAGCTGCTCTCACCCCTCCACCCTGGTCATGGTATCTGTGAGTGGGTGGGTTGTCTGTTTATCTCTGGATGACAGTATCTCTCATACTTGCTCACTTGTTTGATAAAATGAATGGTGAGGGACTTCTCCACCTAGTGTCCACTGTTGACTAGAAGTCTTGTGCTGTTCTGGTCTATATTAGTGACTTCTGGGGCAGTTATAGAGATATTCACAATAGGCTTTGCTCAGCAAACTGCCCTCTCATTGAGATAGTGTCCAAGTTTGGAGAAGCTACTCATGGAGGAATTTTCTGAAACTCTCCAAGGTAGGAGAGAGTTGGGGTGGAAGCAGCATGGGGATGAACTGAGTTTGATGTGCCTCTTAAGCCTGTAAGATTAATAAAGAGAAGGAAAAAATACTTAAGGACGTTGGCTTCTAGAAACAAGGCAAGGTTGCTCCATTCCTTTCACACTCGTGTCCACACCCACACCCTTGACTTCATCCTCAAAGCTGAGTCAGGGTCCAAAGTAAGGCTTGTTATGGACACTTGTGTTAGGGAGTCAGTGTTTCAGGTAGGAGCGGAGAGCTTGCATGTGCACCCTCCTTCCTCTTTTCTCTGGAGGCCCTTGTCCTGCTGCTGCAGATGAGCTGTTCCAGGAAGGGAACTCTCCCTGGGAAGACCTGGGTGGGGGGCTCCAGAGGGTTTTGTTTTGTTTTCAGCCTGTAGCCCATGCAGAAGGCAGATTCATGAGTCTGTGTGACCCAGCTAAGCAAGAACCAGACTGAGTTCCTGGGTCATTCCTCTTCCTCACCTTATCCTGTATGACTCCAGAACAAAGTGGTCATAACAATTGGCTGGAGGATTTGGATCTTGGATAAGGGTCCTGAGAGAGAGGGAAAGAGAGAGAGAGGGAGAGAGAGAGAGAATGTGTGTGTGAGAAACAGAATGTAAGAAAAATATGACAGGGGATGTGAGAGAGAATATGAGAAAGGAGGTGAGCGAAGGGAAGGAGGTCACTTCATTTCTTCCTCTTCCTTTTCATGTATTCCTAAAAGTTTCTTTCTATCATCTTCCTATCAACCATAACCTCCCTTTATCATGTTTTTGTTGTGGTTGTTTGCATTTTACTTTTTCTGTTTATGTGTTTGTTGTTCGTTAATTTATATGTAGACATATGGCTTGTTTACCTCTCCAGATCTTGCTTTAAATGTTACATTTTCATTGTGATTGTCACGCTTACCCTCTCATCTGCTTTCTTTATTCTCAAGACACATGCATCCCTTTAACACAGTGTACAATCTTTTATTTATGTCTGAGCTTCTCAATTAGAATATAAGCTTTGAGAGGGTAGGGCTTTTGGTGTATTTTGTTCACTACTGACTGTGTCTAAAACCAAACTTGGCGTACAGAAGGCAGTCAATAAATTTTTTGATAAATGAACGATGGAATGAGAGTACGTATATTTTTTCTGGTGCGAGATAAGATACATGCATACAAAATATATATCTTAATATCACAAACTAAATATGTATGTATATACGTGACCATTCATCATGATATGTTAATTTAACTACAGTAAGAAACCCATAGCATATGAGTAAACCACACTTCTGAGTGTGTCTGTAGGGAATTTCCAGAGATGATTGACATGTAGGCCAGTAAACTGAGGGAGGAACGACCCACCTTGGTTGTGAGTGGCTCCAGCTACTATGCTTGTAGCCTGAATGGAATAAAAACAGAATAGAAGGAAGTTGGTGTGCTTTCACAGGTCTTCAGTCTTCTAGAGAGGACGCATCTCCCACTGTCTTCACCTCTGGATATCAGTCTCCAGTTTCTTGGTCTTCCGAAGCAGACTCATACCAGTGACTCTCCAGTGAGCTTCCTGGTCTTCGATCTTGAACTGGGACTGCATCCATGATTGCTCTTGCTCTGTGGCCTCCATCTTGGGCTGAGAAACTACTGGTTCCCTAGCACACAGCAGCCATTGTGAATGCTGCCCCCTCTTATCCTGTAAGCCTACCTCATAAATCACCTTTCATAATTGTGTGTGTGTATATATAATTGTGTGTGTGTGTATATATATATATAATTGTGTGTGTGTGTATATATATATATATATATATATAATTTCTATGAATTCTGTTCCTCGAAAGAACCCTAGCACACACATGTATCTTTATTGTTTATATGCCTTTATATATACACACAAACATGTATGTGTGTGGTTCTGGAGATTAAACCCAGGGACTTGGGCATCTTAGACACTCTACTGCTGAGCTGAGTCCCTAGCTCCTCTTTTAAAACATTATTTTATTTTGAGATAAGATTATACTAATGTTGTTGGTATTTTGCTACTGTTCTTTTTTAAAATTATTCTCCTTAAAGTTAAAAAAAATTATACTAAATTGTTCAGGCTGGCCTTGAACTCTTTAACTTACTTGCAACCTTCATGCCTGAGTGTCCCAAACTGCTGGGATTACAGGTACAGGCCATCATATCTCTGCTGAAAATATTAAATATTTTACAAATTGAATTTATATTATTAAATATATTTAAGATAAATATATTCATCTGTATGCATATATATTCATAGATAATTGCATTTAATAAATGTGTATGACTGTGAACAAATCCTGGAAGGGAGTTTGAATTGTTGGGGTCAATTCTGCCTATTCAAAACACAGGGAAGAAGTGTTTCATGCGCCTCTCTGGGTCCCTGTGCTTGTGAAATAGGTATGATACCCCTGTGTACCTCACAGGATTATCATGAGAATTAGCTAAAGCATGGGACGTGGAGATGTAAAAGCGCAAAGACAAATCACACATATGCTCAAATCTCCGTTAGGATAGAACACCGCTGTGACTGTGAAAACAGTTCAGAAGGTGAGCTTCCTTCCCAGCCTGGCGATAGAAACACATCATATGACACGAGAGCTGGGTCTTCTGGAGGACTGAGTCCTGGAAAGGTTCTGTGCGGTTCTCTGAGAAACTTATCTTATGAAACCGGAGTGGTATTTGGGAGCTTATCAGGAGCATTTCGTGAGGGGAAAGCCGAGCAGAGGCCGGCTATGTCATGGAATATTCCTCCCTTTCTTCCATTCCCCCAAGCGCCGCGCTGTTATATTTCTTGCTGTGTATTATTGACAGAGGAAATGCTGATTCATGGGTCTGAGTTACAGGAAACCTTGTTTCCTGGTGAAGAAACAAGCCCGTGATGCTGCCAGCCTCCTCCTCTGCCAGTTGCTGCCACATGCCCTGCTCTGGGCCTGCACCCAGACTGCCTGTGAAGGGGCAGGGCTGATTCGTGCTTCACCAATGAGGTCACTTTCCCTGGCCTAGATCCTCATGGTGCCGCTGCAGGCTCTTCAGCTCTGACCCCAGCATATCTTTCCAGCCCATCTCTCCTGCTTTCTTCTTGCCCCCTACGCTGCAACCACGCACGACTGCTCCCAGGGCTTCGTGAACACCTTGTATTTTCCAGTCTCTGTGTCTTGGCTCATAATGTTCCCTGCCTGGACTGACCCCTGACCCAGTGTCGGCTCATTGAAATCGGATCCGTGCTTCAGTTCTGCACAGCTGTGACCTGCTATGCGGAGCCTTCTACATTTCCTTCTATTTATTTATATTCTTTTCAGTAGGGGTATTTTCAGATGTCCACAAAACTACAGAATTGTCTGATGAACTTCACCCAAATTCAACAGTTATCTGATTCCTCTTACATAGCGCTGGATCACTCCTTCTGTGAATTCCCTGCTCAGGCTTGCGTTCTGTGCTTAACTCACATTTGCTGAACTGGGTGGGAAGGGGATGAATTGGTGGAGTTAGGGTGCTGTCTTTACCCACCTCTTACAGTGAAGAAACTGACCCCCAGAGAAATGGAGTTGTCATGAGACAAGCAGTGTTAAGCTGAAATCAGATTTTCTTGAAATGTTTCACAGGCTGATTGGAAGGTCTGGATAATATACTCATAACAAGTGTGTGCTACAAGACCTCAAGTGCTGCAGGAGTTCAGGTGAAGTGACAGTAAGAATGTGCTGAAAGAATAAAATAATCTTATATCCAATTTATTAATAGGATGACCTCTGAAGCATAGCACTGAGCAGACTGCTGGTCCTGTCCATTGTTTTATCTGACCATGTCCTGAAGATGAGAGACTTACATGTGGAGCAAAGTCATCCAATCAGTATGAGTAAGGAAGACTTTTAAATGGCAGATGTTCTAAAATAATTGAGTAGGTACTCCGTACTGAAAAAAACCTAATGCTCCAGATACATTTTTAAAAAAAATTTTATTAGTACATGGTTGCAGTGCATGATGTTTACATTCCTTGTGCTGAATTAGTACGTGTACATAATATGTCCTAATTCCTTTTTACCTGCCCTTTCCCTTCCCTTTTTCTCCTCTCCCCTCCACTCTTGATCCTTCCCATTTAAGAAAGATCTCCCTACTTCCTGCTATAGAACTTTTATTTTGCTATTTATATAGAGTTGGGTTTCTCATAAAAGAGAAGCCTTGTGATATTTAAGTTTGAGTGTCTGATTCATTTCACTTAACTTTATGGTCTCAAGGGGCATCCATTTTGCTACAAATGACTCAGATTTATCCTTTATGGCAGAGTAATACTCCACTGTGTGTAAATGCCACTTTTTTATCCATTGATCCATTGATGGGCATGTAGGCTGCTTCCAACATTTAACTGTTATGAATTGTGCTACAATGTGTATAGGTGTGCATGGATCACTGTAATATGTTTTTAACTTTTTCTGGAAGATATGCAAAAAGGGAGCAGCTGGGTCACCTGAAATTTCCAGTTTTCATTTGTATTTGTTGAAGAATCTCTACACTGATTTGCAACATGGTTGCGCAAGTTCACACTTCCACCAACAATATAGAAAGATAGAATTAATTCTTATGGGAAAGATAAGGAGATAAAGGAGCCTAAAGTCCTGTGGCTTGAAGCACTTGCATACTCAATGATTTGGGAGGAAAGAATGGAGAGAGGTTGAAAAGATAGTGCAAAAAATGAAAAGCCAGTCATGGGAGAGTGGCAGTCGTCCATCTTGACCCAGCCCTGGCTGCCTTAGGGTCCCACAGGAGTCATCGGAGGTCCAGTGGGTGGGAGGAGGGGCCTAATGTTTACACAGGAACTTCATTTCATGAGAACTGAAACCCGTGCCAGTGTGAGGTAGTAGTGGGAAGGATGGAAAGTATGTGGCTTTTCTTCGTAAAATTGAGTTAAAACATAATGTTAGGAAAAAGCCGAGGGCTCTGACCAGGCCTCTACTAGGTACTCAGCCAACCCCAGATCATCATCTCATTGAAACCATGGTAGATGCGTCAATGCCTGGATCACAGGGATGGTTCGAGGTTCCCCAGAGGCATGGATGAGAGAGTGTGAGAGACTGATTTGCAGCCTGTGAAGTGCCTCAGTAATTCTCCACTGCTTCCCATCTGTCACTATTACTAGGAGTCCACTCTTGGTACCGGATGACAGAGACATTGCCCTGAAGGCATAAAGGAAGAAGAAGAAGGGGGACAAAGAATTGTTAGAACATAAGGGCTTGCATTTCACACTTTAGTGTGTTCCAGATATCTGGGCCAGGAGCTAGCTGCAGAGACTTCTGGAACTTTGTCCTGTTGCTTTATCCATTGCTTGCTGTTGTTATCCTTGTTAAGATTATCATAAAATCTTCAAAAGAGAAACTCCCTGTGTGCCAGTCTTAGAGGCCACATGTAGAGGGTTGTATGAGGGAGAACTGGGGTGGTGAGAAATGTTTTATACTTTATGGACAATCTGTAGTTAGGAAGAAAGGAAAATAAGTAGAATTTGTGGATCCTGTGGAGGATAGGGTAGAGAAGATCTGAGACTTTCCTGGCAGAAAGGTGGGGTATATTCCTGGGTTGAGATGTAGGGAGTCCTTCCAGGCACAAAATACTGCTACAGTGAGGTTCATGATATCCACTACAAGTAGACAGGATTCCATAGCAGCTGGTGAGATGCTAGTTTGCTTTCTGAAATCCATGAGAGCATATTTCTTATAAAGAAAAATATCCCTCCTCCCGCCCCGCCATGCACATGCACACACCTGTTTACTCATTTGTTTTCTTAAGGAAGTCTCTCTTTAAGGGGATTAGAAAGGTAAGCTTGGTTCATCATTAAGTAACTACTCATCCTACTTATCACACACTCCTAATGTGGTCCTCAGCAGAGTGAGCCCTAACTGAGCAGCACAGAAGGGCAAGACACTTGCCCAGCCACAAAAACAATGTGTGAGCCCTCAGAATCCTGTACCTTACCAAATGCATGTGGTTTAGAGCCTGCTTAACAAAGAAAGAAAAGAAGGGTTGCCTTTCCCACGTATACAGAATTTGTCTTCTTATATACTCTATTTGCTATATAACCATAATGTTTCCAGGCCAGAGCAGAGGCATTCCGGGAGTACGCAGAGGGCATGCCATTGAGGATCTGGGAGATTTCCACCATAGCAGTCAGCTGACTGCATCCCCAGGAGGACCAGGCAGAGGAAAACACTTGGGTTATGATGAGCTGATCTCACCTGCGGTAGGGTTAACCTTGAGGATAATGTACCCTTGTCAGATTGTTTTTGCTTCATAGTGTGATGATGCTTGTGTGTGTGTGTGTATGTGTGTGTGTGTGTGTGTGTGTGTGTGTGTATACATGCTGGAGGTCAAACCCAGGTCCCCAGGCATGCTAAGCACTTGCTCTACCAGTAAGCTACACCCCAGCTCTTGTTTCCATTCTTAAACTGGGTGTTGCTCTCTAGATTTTGGCATGGGTTTAGTTTTAAAGTGCAAGACCTACCTATGTTCACAAGAAAAGTTCTGAGGTCTCTCATCAAGAGTTCAGGTCAAACTCCAAAAAGCTGCAGAATGATCAGGCCCCAAAAAGCTGCAGAACACATGAAAGGTCCATGCCTGCAAATGTTGAACAAATATTCTGTGAGGGGAAAGCCCTAACTCATAGTCTTTGCCGGATTCATTGGTGTATATACTCTGAATGTGTTTGATTTCAATATGGTGGCCACTAACCATGGAGCTGGGAAGAATTGTCTAGGCTAGCTCTTGTGAGCTGGTACACATTGGCCCTAGCATACGATCCACAGGCAGTGAGAATAGACTCACACTAGAGCTCACTTGGAGAAGCTGGGAGTTAGAAATCAGGTGAGGAGTTGGGTAGGTAGGGCGGGGGTGAAATACCTGAAGCACACAGGGCTGGAGCAGGCAGCCGCCAGCTTCAAGCTTGCTGTAATTAATGGTTATCCTAAGAAAAACAGCTACTGTTCCCTCGACAATATTATGTGACAAACACTCTGCATCGCTACTAATTCTCACAGCATCTCTGCAAGGGTGTTTTTATTCCTGTTTTACAGGTAAGGAAGTTGAGGACCAGGAAGATAAAATGAGTGGTGAGGTAAGAAGTGGGAGAGTGAGAATTCCAACCTGGAGTCTACTTCCTTTCTACAATCAGGCAAAGGGAGGCTGAGAGAAGTCTTCTTCCTAGATGGACAGTGGAATGGTGATGGATGCTAATTTTTATGAGGATCAACAGATTTGTAAGGATGGTGGCAGTGGATGAATGATGAAATCAGGGATTCAAGATGAGGAATGAGGGTAGCACAGGACCCAGGGAGAAATCAGAGGAGGATAAACTTGATGCTGAGTCACTCTATTCCTTAAACAACCTCTGAGTGAACTCAAAGCAAAACCTATCAATCCTGGAGTGAAGCTGAACACAAAGTTGGGATCTACTTAAACGTTAGACAGCTAGGGTATCAGTGAGCAAGTTCTTTGTTGAGGCAGTTGAGATTTCTGAGGAAACACCCAGTGTAGAATGACTATGCATATATGTGTTTTAAATCAATATGGTGTCTACAGTACTTCAAAACTATAATACAGTCTATGGAAGTTAATTTGAAAACACACATGCTTACCTAGTTAACACATTGCTTATGACTGAGCATCATTCTAAGGCAGAGATGAGGCTGGTGGGGAGTTGTGCGCACTGTAAAACATCAAACTTGGGTGGTAAGAACTGGGTAGTTGCTGTGTGGATGTAGGTCCAGGTGAGTTAGGTATTGAGACGGTGATGCACCTAGAATTTGGAGACACTCAGAAGCCTAAAGATAAGATCAAGGGGAAAGGAAAGGCTGGGAATTGTGTTAAAAACCATCAGGGGACTGCTTTCTGGGTGGAAGTTGATCAAGAAGGCTCAGACCTGCGAAGAACCTGAAAGGTCTCTCAGTACCTGGTGTGTGATCACCACAAAGACCTTGATTGCTAGGAAATCAGATTTAACTTCTCTAGTTTTTCTTATCTGTAGATAGTTTACATTCTGTAGTCCTTTTCCTGAGTAGAAAAATATAATTGTGTCTCTTATCTTGTGGTGCTTTGCTGTTGAATTGCCATGGTACAAGTGGGTAAGTCAGGGTGTTGAAAGAAAGATGAGCAGGAGATTAAAGCTGGGGTGCTGTGATGGTTGATGCCCTGATCTATGGACATGTCTCCCTTTTTATTTCTGACAAACTCCCCTTTTCATTTGGTGCTAGTAGGCAAAACCTATCAGGTTGCATTACATGGGGATTTCATTCTCTCCAATGACCTTTTGATGGAGGCTTTATTGATATCCTCATTTCAGAGGTGAAAGATCACCCTGCTGATAGATGGCAGAGATAGGATTTGAACCTCAAGCACACTTGGGAACTGAAAAATTTATCATCGGGCTGTGCAATATAAAGTTGTCTTTTTTTTTTTAGATTGAATGTTGATAATTCTGTATCATGTTATTTTGACCCTGTGGCTATTGACAGCATCCTAGAAGTAAACAGATCTTGCTGCTCCCCTGGACAGAACAGTAATCAATCTCAGCTACAATATGGAGTTCTGCCTATTTTGTCACATGCAGTGCCAGCTGTAAGAACAGAACTTTATCAGAAGCGGAGGTAATGGACTTGTGATTTTTCAAGTGAGCAGAAGTGACTTGAGCACATTCCCTTCAGATAATGGACAACTGGACAAAGACCCGGAGAGGGGCCACCTGGACATAAGTTCCCTGTGCTTCTATTGAAACAATGGTGGACACAGAGGAGATGCCTATGGCAGTTTTCACACCGAAATGATGTAATGATATGGCTGTCCTTGGGGAGTACATTTATCACTCACAACTCTTGGGCCATAGTTGAAATTATGGGACAGAGCAGATTTTGGCAGAGCAAGTGCTGCTGGGTGGAAGAATTAGCATTTGCTGCAGTTGTTCTTCCACTGGCAGAATCAGGAGACTGTGGAGCTATTGCTTATACTTCCTAGGGCCTGTTAAGTGGGCCGGCGTATTCTTTCCCATGTTCTCTCTAGATAGCTGGAAGAATCCTAACAGTTTAAAGATCTTGGTGTGCTTAGAAAGAAAACAAACAAAGACATTCTTTGAGGTAGGAAGTAAAAGGAACTTGTAAGAAAAAGAAGGAAGTGACGCAGCGACTCCATTGGAATTGGGACAGTAGATGGTCAGAGGGGGAGTGAGAAAGTCCTCCTGACAGCGTGCCCGACCCTGGCCCGGTGCCTGCATTCCTACAGCAACCACATCCCTGTGGCCAATGCCCTTTGATTCAGTGCCTTCACCTGCTGCAGTGGGTGGCTAGTGTAAGGCCCACCATGCTGCCCTGGGCTTCCTGGGGGCCTCCCATGGCCTCATTCCTCTTGGCCTCCTCTTCTTTCTTCTTTTGGGAACAACTGTACATAATCCCCTCTGTCTTTTCTTCCCCCTTCCCCAACCCTCCCACCTGCCCCTTCCGATTCTGTGCCAGCAGCTGGGAGTGAGTGATGCCAAGTCAAACAGACTAGTGCAACGCCGGCCGGGGCGTGCTGTCAGTCTCTGTCCATCCTACGCCTGACAAAGGCTCTCTCTCAGCTGGCAAAGGCTGGGAGCCCCCTTTCAGGAACACTGCAGGGTCTGGAGCAGAGAAACAGTCCGGTGCCGGGACCCTGACCACCCTTGTCTCCCTCCTCTTTGTCTTGCGGCTCTCTTTGAAATCCTTTCAGTTCAGCTCCTTTCCCTACTTCATCTGCTTGTCTTCATTTTTACTTTTAATTCTTCCTCATTAATCAAGCTCATGAACGTGTTGAGGGATGTATTTGAAAAAGCCTTTAAAACAGGTTTTAAAATTCAAGTGCTACCAGATTCATACAAGGCATCACAATAGGCCAGAAACCAGCCAGAAGAATAATAACAGCTGGTCTTTACCACAGCCTGCCCAAGCCCAGGATCTTGAAGATGTCACTTCCTTCCTTTCTTTCTTAGTCAGTGGCGGGCAAAATTCATGGTAATTCTCAGAAGTAGGTACCCTTGCAAGCAAGCACCTTTGATTTTCTGTACAATTGGCTAATTCTACTCCTCCCACCTACCTGTCTGTGCGGGATGACTTGAGAACAGCAGCAGCAATTACCCCGGGGGAGCCCTGTGACAGATCAAAGCCCTCTGGAGCACTGAAATCTGGCGGAAAATAAAGTCAGCAGGTCTGGCATAATGATGTGAACATTGTTCGGGTTTCAAAGTATATATATATGTCTATATTTTTCTCATAAATATGAGTGAAACAGTTTGAGTTCTGCAAAGATGCTACCTAAGAAATAGCCCCAATAGACATGAGAAGCAACAATAACAAAAGTTTAATGAGTCATACAGATGATTTTTTTCAGAATTGGGTCTTCCATATTGACAATCACCCGTGCTTACCTGAATGTCTCAAAATCTCCCAGACATGCATGCCTTTGCACTTACGAAGAAAAAATGCAAGATTATTAAATTAAGCCTTGTCTAGGTTTTTGTATACTGCTTAAGAGCTCATCGATGTTTAAGAAATTAAGTAGTAGCTGAGTGAAATAAATCAGACACCCAAGATTAAATAGTGCATAGTTCCTCTTATATGAGAAACCCAAAATATAAATAATTTACATTGCAAAATAAAAGAGAGATGATAGGAAGCAGGCGGGTAGACTTCGTGGAGATGGGGAGGGAATCTGGGAAGGGGCAAAGAATGTAGGGTAGTGGGGGAAAGAGGAATTAAAAATGACTAAAATGTGATATGTACATGTACCAGTTCCAAAAGATGAACGTGATTTTTGTGAATCACAAAGATATACAAATCAATAAAAATAAAGAATATTTGAAATGCATCTGTCTTTTTAAAAATAAAATGCTAATAATATATTTCTCATTTTTTCCTGACTTTCAGGAATCTCAGAATTGAAAGTGATGACCAGCTCTGCAATGATATTAGCCTTTGCTATTTCTTTTCACTTTAATCTAAATTTTTAGTTCTTTTAAAAAAAAAAAAAAAACTTGGTGTGTAACCTTATCTGTGATATAAATTGTCCAAAATTCTTTTTAGAAAAAAATGGGTTGTATAATCAGGGAAACTCTATAAGAATGACTTCTAATATTGGCGATGGTAATGATTTCTGGTGACCTGCTTTCCACCTTTAATTTGCTATTTATGTACTTGTTGTAAAGTCCTGG